ATAATTAGGTACCTTTTTACAATGTCTCCTCTATGCTTCAGCCAAGTTTCAAAAGCGAGGCCAAACCAACCGTATTAAGCTCAGATATCTACTCAGTAGACTATCATGGTAGAAATAGCATCGCCAAGGATTAGTTTTATCTCTTCAACGCTTCCACCCTCCCTCACCTAAAAGAGATAGATGCAGCCAGAAGCAGTTGTTGAAGGCTTTGACAGTGCAGGATTAAATGACTTCGTGCCACCTCATGGATAGGGCAGGAAGGACAAGCAAAACTGCCTTGGCAGGCAGATAGATGCGATCGATGGAGTTTGAAGGACCAGCTTGGCCCTTCTATATCCACTAGCCCGCTCTACTTCCGAATTTGCTTTGTGTGAAATGGCGATCAACGTGACCGAGTGGCTGCTAGCGGCGAATCGGACACATGGCAAAGTGTTGTTCGTAACCGACGAGCTCGATGAATTTAATATGCTATTTAGAATCGCTCTGCACCGCCGCCTTCTGCTTGGTCTCTTTGTGCCGGCCACTTGCGGTCTTCTCACCGCTTTACTGGTCTGGGTTATGTTTGTCGTATACACGGAGCGGCCGCCTGTTGTGCTGGCCTACACGGAGAACATGTACACCACTGACCTGGAGATAGCCACCGATTTCGGCAACATGGATCTCTTAACACTGGACCAGCCGCCAAGACGATCGTCTAAAATCAGCAGCCAGCATCGTTCTACCCCGAGCTATCTGCGCCGGATGAGAAACTTTTACTCATCCATGGACAACAACGCCATCACTCCCGAATTGCTGCTCACCGCAGATCTAGACTTATCGGAAGACTCCTCGTATCTCAATCAGATCTCTTATCCCAAATCTGACTGTTTCTTCATATCTGATAGGCACAAAAATCAGCTTTTAATCCCAATGCTCTTAAACACCCGACCTCGAGCCTCTTGGAAAGCTTGGACTAGGGACAGCCTGAAGGTGGATTCTGATTCTCACCTACCAAAGCTTACAACAAATGATGCCGTCACAACAACCAAAGAGTCCTGTTTTTATTCGTCCAGGAATAGAGTATTTTCTATGCCATGCCTACAATGCTGTATGAAGCCAGGAATCGAACAGCCCCTGACTTCTTGGTCTACTTCAGACGTGTTTGATCATGCAAACTGAACAACCGAGGAGATATGACATGAATGCACTTACTCTGGCTCGGTAATGGGCAAGCTTAAATACTAGTACTGATTTTTGCAGTAAGGATGCTTTTATTGCAGGATCTCACTCTGCTTTAGAGCATCAAGAATACTATTTCCATTTAGTTTAGTCGTTGACATTGCGACCTGTATGCCTCTAACAAAGGGCTTATTTGAGTGGTAGCAAGTTCAACGTTATAGCTGATGGACGCTGTGGAATGTTCTTCCTCGGTCGATTATTTACTGCATTTTTCTGGTCGCCTAAGCATTAATTTCCAAACTCAGTAGCCACAACTCACAGTAAAAAAAGAATCTCGTACGCCTTAGATGATTTGATAAAACTCACTGTTGGGAACAAATCTGCTGTATATTTATAGTCAAAAGTTCAAATGTCAGATATCGGAGCTTACGAAAAACCGGAATATTATGAAAGCTTTATAGAAAGCCCTATTATAGCACCTCGCGGATTATTTTTTCACCAATAGAAAAAGCCAAGAAGGATTTATTCTTAAATACGTTCACCTATAGATCTACAACACAAGTCAAATGACGGTCAAATGGACAATTTGCTGAAAAAGTGATAATGGATATGAATATTTAGTCGACCAGGATTAAAGAAATGAAGTTATTTCTTGTAATCCTAATAATCGTTTAGCGTGCTGTAAACCAGATGAAACAAAATAGAGGGGTGGGCCAAATTTTTACAAATATTTATTGTCTCTTGTTGGAGTTAAATTATTTAAGGATTTCTTGTTAATAGTCCTAACGTACAAAGCAGCGAACAAAATTTGTAGATAATTTACATAGCTAATAGAATAAAATCAGCCCTTATTTGATTTAACCGCATATTCTAGCAAGATTTCATGAAATAATCTAAGAAAATAACAATCTTATGCCGAGAGCATACGGATACTTCAGAGCTTTATTCATTTATTTCCTCTGATAGAGCCTCAATTCATCTGCTTTTTTCAATTAAATTTATAATCTGATCCATCCTTCGGCTTTTCACTTTATTTGGGTAAATAAAAAATTTAATTAGGCTTTAAAATTACCAGCAGGTCTCAATTATGAGCTCTCTGCATCCTAAGTCGAACGAGATGATGATGTATTGGTTGCTAAATTTTCTCGAAATGATTTGAATAGATCTCATTTTTCCAATTTATTTTACATAGCTTTGCTACCCAAAAGTTTTTTTCATCTACAGTGAAATGCAATTTCGATCTTACCTAGGTCTCCTCAGCATCCCCAGAGTTAAGTGAGCCCAGTTAGCATAGTATTTAATCTCAACGCATTACAACCAGAAGTGTTCCTGGTTACAGGAGAGGATAGGCCTTTTCCGTAGCACTAGTTTGTTTTGAGAATGTCTCTGATTTTAATCACTTAGTAAAAACGCTATAGAAATCCAAATAAGATATGCATATTTTATCGAAAATATTAAAATAAATCGATGACATTCTCCGCCTTTTGTGAAACAAACTTCTCTTTTGAGGTTCACAAAAAGAATTGGCCTCCATAAAATTCCTAATATTTGATAGTAATTCGGGTTTTCCTAATTTCCTTTTGCACTTAGTGTAAAATTTGATTAATGCACCATTCCACTTGCACGCTAAAAGGTGAATAAGCCGAGCATTCGGAGGAAAATAAATAGATTAGATAGTTATTTAAAGAGTGCCTATAAGCTATAAACAAAATTTCTTTACAAAAATTGTTATCTTTCAAACTTGCTTTATAGTAAGAGCAACCGTAATAGAGCGTAAAATGTCATTATATTAACAAATATTGCAAAAAAGAGCCTGAAGTGATAAAGGGAACTTTGCTGAACAAGAAACTTACTTATTCAGAGTGAATTACTGTTTCACGCAAATATCAGCCCTAATTGTCTTCGTTACGAGTTTATCAAGCGACTAATGAGAGGCACATGTTAAAATGATAAGAAGGGAATATAAATATTGCACTTTTACCAAAACTATACTGATTTTGAGGTCATGAAATGCGCCTACTTTACCTCACAAAAATGACTGCACGCCCCGTTATCTGGAAACTTGATTAATTGTATGAAAAGTTATTACTAGGAGACATATGCTAGATTCGGTTATGCC